TGACATTTTTTTTATTTTGATTGTAGAGTAGAGTAAAATCAGGACACTCAGTCAGTAGTCAGTTGATAATTATACCTGAGGTAAGGCATGCTTGTCTAAATAAAATCCAGTAGGCACCATTCAAAATGGTTTAACTTGTGGCACCCGATCACAGGTGTAAATCTGTTACCACGGGAATCCGAGCCCACCGCTTCAGAGTATCGTGGTGACTGTGGTTAAAACCCAAAGTCATGCGCGTATTCATTATTCAGTACAGATGTTATGAGAATCCATATTCCAACGTATAGTTTCAATTGGTACGGGCGAAATTCTTGGCAATCTAATAGGAATATACTAATACGTGTGTAAGACCTCCGTGGTGTTAATACCTAACGGCAAGTAATGACGTTAAAAATTCATGGACTATGTACTTAAGCCTACAAGAAGAATTAAATATCTAAAACTTTAATTAAAAATTAAACTAATCTAACTCGAATTTCTTACTTTACTTAATGAAGCTTAAAAGGATCGGGTAGAAAGAGATCTTGAATATCATTCAAGCTAAAAATATCATAATCTAACAATCTTAATCTAGTTATTACAAATAGTAAGCAATTACATACGATTTACACTATTCACTCTTTTGCAGGACCCTATAGAAAGCTTTTTGTTACGTTGCAAGTTTTCATATCGGACCAGTAATTAATCCAATGAAAACATTCGTCATAGCCAATATAGAGAAATGACTCTGGATTATAGGTGTGCTTTGTTAGCTTTAATTTACCAAATTATCAACCAATTCAGTATCCACGTATAAACTACAATGTCTAGAATCGCATGTAAAATGCGATTTGATATAGTTAGCAACACTGTTTAAACTAATTTAATTGGTCTTTGAAGAATTTGTGGGGTAAGAAAGAATTTTAAGTGTAACATTACAGATGCTGACATAAACTTCTGCTAAGAAGATTACCGTATACTTGATTTCATCGTCTAAAGAGATAAGGCAAATCGTTCTAAAAAAAATGGATTGAGAAGTTAGATGAACTGTGGTTAAATGTACTACCTTAAAAAGAGAGTGTGTTGACGAATGAAGTAAAATTTCTAAAAAAATAATTATTTTTTTTAAGCTAGATAAAGGACATATATTTTTATTATATGTGTATTATATTTTTTATATATTGTTTTCAATTTTTTTTATATTTTTAAACTTTTTCATATTTGTTATGAAATATGAATGAATTATCATTATTACTATTTTATGTTATTATTCATAATATGTTTAAGCTATATATTGTAGTTATAGTTGTATTAAAAGTATTATTATTAGTATAATAAGCTAGTATTGTTATTAATTAAAATATCAATGGTCATAATTTAATATTTATGTTTATGATATATACATATCAAGACGTTAATGTATAATGATTATGTATAGCGTTCTTTCAAAACTGAAAAAAACTATATAAATTAATTTAAAAGTTAAAAGGGTTCAAATAAAAATAAAAAGACAACAACAAAAATTTTAATTAATTTATTAAAATTTGGGTGACCGTACAATGTTGTTTCGAGTATCCAGTGTCACCAGTGATCTTAGGAAATTTCGAATTTTTTAAATTTAAATTAATGTTATAGGACAAATGCAGCGTATAGAAATTATGTATATAAAATTATGATAATTGTGAGAACTTATAATAGAAATGTGTGTAAACTACCCAATAGTTATGGTTGTGTAAAATTTTATTAATTTCAAATATTTTCGACAGTGTATTTTGAAAAACTCTACTGAAAAAGAATAATCATGTTTCAATAATTTAAAAATTTTTTATTTACTTTGAAGTCACGTAAACAAGTTACTAAAAAGACCACAAACAAAAATCCGAAAATTGGAAAAGTATTTCTTATCCAAACAAAGCTAATTTCTAGTCATTTAAATTGCCTAATTTGGTTATTAGTCTCGGATGGAGCGTACGAGCACTGTGTTGTATCTGGATATATACACACATTTTGAATGTGCCATTTGATCTTAAAGTAAAAATCTACGTTCTACGAAATTTCGTTCAATACTAGTGTTCTTTTGTTTTTTACTCTACATACATTATATAGTTTAGAATGCATTAAAAATTCTTTTTTGAGAATTTTGAATGTATGGTAAATGAAATCGTATTATATATACATGCTCCCGTACGTATGTAAATATGTAATGATTTGTAAACAAAACGAACGGATGAAAATTGTGTAAGTTTGCCTCTTACCAGATACGAATACCAGATATAATAAAAATTGTAAATGATGCTTTTGTTTATGTATTTAAAAATTTCGCCTCACAGAGTAGTTGGAATCTTGCATTAATTACATCTAATTCACTTTAAAGTAAACTTCCCTATAAATATTTCTGAAGTTAAATATTAAATTAACAGAACAACAACAACTGAAGTTGAGTTCATCTCATGCGTATATTATGTGAACTTAAACACTATATACGCAGCTTTTTTCTTTATTTATTCTCCTCAGGGAATATTTAGCCAATTATATGTTATGTTACAATATACACACATATGTTATGTACTGGAGAGAAAGCAACCAGTGCTGTGCCTTTATGTATGTATGTAGAACATTATGTGTAAATGAAAACCTGTCGAAATCTGTGTAATCGTCGGAATCCCTGTGGTGAACTTAAAGTGTCTAGGCTAAGCCATTCCAATGACCAAAAAGACGTTGGCCATTTGGGACACATCACGTTGTTTGCTATTAAGCACTTCAGTTCTGATTGCAATCGTTAAATTATTTGCTCATTTGATTTTGTTCCGATTAACCATTATTGTAGCACGTGCTACAAACCACAAACCATATAAATGGTTTACTTATAGTTTTATGAAATATATGTTGGTTTTATGGCGATAAAGCCCCATCTGTTTTGTTTAAATCTGTCCTTACGATTTTATAACCACGATTTTTAAGGTTGTATACACAGCATATTACCATATCACTCAACGTTAATGTAGATCAGCTGTATGGATAATGCTTGGTCCAAAAACACTACCATGTGAAGCTCTGAGTTATTTCTTAGTTTAATTCTCCTACGAAGTTTTTACACTTCTACGATAGGTTATCCCTTCTCAGTAGAACGGAACTGAGGTTGATGGCAAGTTCCCTGACGAGTGAGTCATCATGGCCTGTGTTATCATTTCAACAAGATGGGTCTGTCTGAAGAGGCAACTGCCAGTCATCTCTACTTGGAAGCTGAAAGCTTTAGACGCATTCTTTAGGTGGAAAGGAGGAGTTTACTATATCGCGAGTTTCTTTTCTCATTCAAAGTTAGGATGTCTTTAATTATCTGTTGTTCGGTTAGGGTCGATAGATCGTTTGCCGATACCCCATTTATTCTCTATTTTATACACAATACATACACAATCATAGTATGTATGGATAGAGTAGCATTTTTTTTATTTTGTCCAATAGACCCTGATGTCAGATATATGTACAGTTCTCTACTATGAACTGCTCTATCTTGTGCTATATGAATTTATTTGATGTATGTATATCTTTTAGTTTCAGTGCTTTTTAACACTGTTACTGTGCCATCTTTTGTTTTTGATGTTTCCTTTTGATCTAAGGAAATATAATTATTGATTGTTTAAAATAAAATTTAGCGATTTAAACGATTTAAACGATTTAGTTATATTAAACAAGTTAATATGCTATTAATTTACAACTGCATGATTTGATATTCCAGTATAGATAATTATTTTCTCCAATGATTTGTTCTTTTTTACTCTTTTAAATACATGAATATTTAAATTAAATTAAATATATTGTTTGTATATTAATCTTTATTTAAAAAATTGAATTGAATACGATAATATAGGTATGTACTAATTAATATACGGCAATACTATTTAAATAATAAATAACTGACTCTGATGTATACATTGCCAGATTACTACGTAATGGTTCAGCACCACAAAGCCCCGTCACTGATCAGTTGATGTAGAGCCTGCTGCTATTTTTAAGTGTACATACACGCAGATCGGTTTTTGCCAATAGGCAAGTCGAGGTAAACTATAGTCGGCCGAGTGTGGGGTTTTACGTATGTTTACGTATCCGCGTTTTTACAGTATGAAACGAAGTAATCTGCACAGAAGAATATTTTCTGCAGATGTTTACTTCAGAATTATTATTGAAACAAATAAAGGTAAATAAAACATATTTTACTGCTGTGCATACGGTTTTTATGTGATTTCTTCTTTCGGCTGAAATGATTCACTGAAATACACTTGAATATATATGCTATGTACATATAGTGCTTATATTAAGAAACAGACCTCGTACATTGTAGATACAGAATTATTTTAATTTTTGATCTCAATTATAGAAATTTTCCAATTTAATGAATACACAAATTAACGAATGTCTAATTTAACAAATGTTTCATTTAACGAACGATAATATTTTATTATTGAGAAGGCATTATTCGTAATAATGGGAATAATAACGAATGTTTTAATAGTCAATAATTTAGCAAATACTACAAGGAAAAACATGATTCTTTTGATTTTCGAATAAAATTCAATATATTTATTTATTAGGATAAAACTTATATGACTTTTCTCAAGGTAAAAACACAAAATAAGATCTCGGTTTACCTCTCTAAGATCTGACTCAAGTATTATTATGTTATACTATAAAAGCTTTGCAGATACATTCAAAAAATTTAAAAAAACTATAAAATACCTATCATCACAAATTTGGTTAATTAAATTTATAATAATAACATAAATAAACTGTTGAAATTAATTTAAAAAAAAATTCAATTAAAAATCATTATTTAGGTCCATAAAAAAAGTCTTAATGTTCTCTACATTGTATATAAAACCGATTATAACCCTGTTATATATTTTTATATAGCAAGTATGTATATAAATATATATCAATATAAAATTTTTTTTTAATTTGGAATATATATTTATAAACAAATAAAAAGCGAAAAGCTATTAACATAAATTATTTTCTGATTTCAGTGGTTGTGTTAGTATGCGCAGAAGCCGATGAATCACTTGACACAAGAGAGAATGCGGATCTTACATTAAAATGTCGCTTTACCGAACATTACGAAGAAAATAATTTTTCCTTTTATTGGGCACGATGGACTGCAAACCCAGCTCAATTTGAGAATGTTGCTATTGGCGAGGTGCAGTTGGGTTCAGGATACAGGTAAGATATTATCATATCGCATTCATTCTGATCAATTTTACAAGTACAAAGATAAATAATCAATAAAAAAAATGTAAACTGATTGATTTAAATAATATAAAGAAATGTTTCGGCTAAACTACAAGTCTTCTTCAACGATTTCAGGGATTTCAGGAGTGTATAGATTCTTGTAAAAATGTGTTCCTATTTCATTCATAACGTCAATGAATATTTTTATTTTAAAAGATTGTGATTTGCATAAATTTTAATTTTATTATAAAAATCTTATCTTATTTCCACTTTTATGAACGATGAATGAATAATATTATTCTCCATTAATAATTGTAGAACTAAAATTTTGCATAAGTATGTAAAATTAAATAAATTGAATCATTTCAATAACTTAGGAACCTGTCCACAAATAAAAATTCAACTGTTAAGACTTCCATTTATACAGATAACTGAATGCCTTTTTAACAAAGGTGAGGAAAAGGGTAAATCCCACTAATTACTAGTGCTATTATGAGACGACATGAGGTATATATTATATTTAGGAACTGTAAATGTTAAAATATCATTTAATATTTATAATATCTCCACATTTGGTACTTTAAAGTAAATAAAACACACTATAGCGTTTTATTCGTATAAATTTTATTAGTTATGAAATTTCGGCAAATAGGTTCGATTCATTCTAAAATTTGAGAGCGATTCGCGATTGGAAGATATTAATCCATTTTATTTTATTTTTTCTGCGCTTTATTTCTCTATCTTTTATGCACTATTAGATAAGATAAGAATAGACGGGGTACTAGCTCCCAATTGAGCAGAGCACTGCAACCATGATTGATCTTTTCTACTACAACAGACCCTAACCGAACAGAAGAGATTCTGCTATTGTTTATGCACTATTGGTTTGGCAAATTTATTTTTTGCCACCCTTATGTAAAGTAAATCTAACTAATATACTGTAAAGGCACAGATTTTGGGAATTAAAGCCAAGTTTCTACTATACAGATACTGTCAGCAAAGAATTATAAATAATAGGGGAATAGCATCTAAAGTAAAATCGATACTCACCAGTGCATAGAGTCATGTGAGCGGTAAGGCCTTCTATCAACAACACATTAACGAAAAAAGTTTTGTTCGGTAATCACTCACTGTCTTGGTCTTTAAGAAAGAAATTGAAAACCGCTTGTTCATTTTAGCCTTCCTTGACATTCTTTGAATTGTAAAATTGACTTTAAGTAAATAAAAGCCATTACATAGGTTTTAACTTTCCGGTGTACTGCTTCTATGTAACATAAAATGTGAAAAAAGGTTAACCCAATTTTAAATGATAACATCAATACTCGCTTCCGTGGGCTGATACCCGAATAGTACTACACTGACTGGAGCAGTATTCTTCAACGCTTTCAACATTTCTAGTTAATGGCGTCTGTGAGTTTTAGAAGCTCAGAAATATTTTGCTAATAGTAGGTGAACAAATAAATAATGTTGTACCAGCACAACGACAATCGCTAGTATTGCAATTTACTAATATGCCGCACCTAAAGGTTCTCTTCGCATTATCTATCTTAAACGCGTAGTATAGTACGATCTTATACGTGTCGCATTCAATGCAAATGCAAATATCCATTTTAAAAGAAATGATGGCAAATATTCTGGTGATGTATCTTACTTCCAATCAATTTTTTAGGCTCTCAACTTTTGAATTTTTCATCCCGGTACTCACTTATCGCCAGCTATTTTCAAGTACTTGTAAAAACACTCGAAATGGGTATGTAGTTTAAGGCGATTTCAGTTTTATAATAAACTTATAAAAATTTTGTTATAAACTTAAGAAATTTGTCTTTAACAAATCAAATTAACGAATTTACATATGCTGCACCAATCGGTTTTAACTTTAACTTCATGTCGCGTGAAGCATTGCATATCAGCGGGTTCTGCGGAGTCTATAGCTTAATGATGTCTCAATTAAACAAAAGTAAATATTTGTACGTCTTTCATATAATTAAAAAGCTTGGTATAGCAATAATAAGGGTTAAACAATATTTAATTATAGTGGAAGTTGTTACGAGATCCTAATAAGAACTCACTTCCTCAATGACATTATCTATGCTGGCTGCTCCATACAATCATGTGAAACTGTATTGCTGTAGTAAATCATCACTTCATCACATCATGCCATAGTCGTATTAAAAATTATTCAAAGAAGGTTTATAACTTCTTCTCCACAAAATGTTGTTTGTCAGAGTGGTATTACTGAATATCATTATAGAGAAGAAGAATTATAGAATTATAGAAGAAGAATTTGTTTTAAAACAATGAACCACAAATTTGGTTAATGGGGAGAATCCTTAATTGCATTACAAGCCCAGATCACCTACTTCAAGAAGTCAATTTGCAGATTCTAAATGGAATATTTTACAGTCCAGTCCACAAAATCGCATTATTTTTGTCTTGGAAATAGTTTCAAGGGGGTAAGAGGTGGAACACCAGCTCATATACAATATGTATATATGTATGCATTGACATACATATTTCCATTGTCTAGGTCCATCTATAAATTTTTGTTTTAAATAAAATTTTTTTCTACAGTTCAACACGATTTAAGATAACATATAAGGGTTGGTGTTAATAGTTAAAAAGTAAGCACTTTTATATACTATACAGAGTTTTTCGTTTGAGGTAGTAAAGTTATGAATAAATATTTTTTATTGTAGCAAATATGCGTCTTCAAAGAAAAATAATCTTATCCATAAGAAGTTTCTGCAGATTTGATTCAACTTTACTTATAATATATGGAAACATTAATTCTTCACAAAACATAAGCTAATGTATGGAAAATGAATATTCATCAAATATTATTTTCAAAAATAAATACATTTATTGCCCTCACCGATGTTACCGGTAATAATATTAAGTCAACAACGACGGTATTCCAAAGTAACTACAATTTGTATATTTAGAAAGTTTTTAAATCGTTTTTCTAACTCTAGGCTATTTTGATTTTATTTCATTTAAAACACAAAGAAATACAATATTTTATTTTATCTTTTTAACCCTATGCTTCCTTCAAGTGGTTGAAAAGTCACTTCAGGGGTTGGTGTTAATACTTCATGTTTATTTTTTATATCTTACATAGAGTTTTTGTGATTGAGAACGTTTTGATCAAACGGTGAAGAACAATAATCGAAATCATAAAAAGTTACCGTACAATAATTGAATAAATAAATGGACTTGCAACATTTTAAAGTTGAGCATCATCAACCCCTGACCTGTCTTGTTCTATTGAACCATTTCCGCGCAAACTCTGAAAATATGTTCTCCCACATATTCAACAAATACTCATATTAGCAGCAGAGAATTGCCGACAAAAGCTTCTCAGCAACTCACACTTGCAAAGACACTTGGACTTAAAGCTTCGTTTCGAAAGGAGTTGGTGGTCATCTGATGGAGGAATTGAGTTTAGCAACAATGTTGCTGATAACAATATTGCTTAAATATTGTTGCTAGACATATGTGTATTTTATTTGCTGATGGTAATTGTTGATAATTTCAATTGGCAAAAATTCACGGAGAGAAATATTTACTAAATTTGGCTTCAAGTAAAATAAAAAAAATATTCGCTTAAATAGCCTTACATTAAACATAAATACTAAATACTCGATATCTGCAACGCTTACTGCGAAATAAAAATACATAATATTCATCATCTTATTAATTACTATTTTATACTATTATATATTAAATATGTAATTGTTATATCCGAGCCTATATTCACATCGCTAAATAGGCACAATATCATCGAACGTTCGGACGAGCGTGGGAATTCATCGTGAAAACGTATTTGGTTTCGAATACTCTTCCATAGAAAAAGAGCTTCTCCATCACTCCCTCACTAAGCGCTTCATATCATTTCTTGTAATTTTGCATAATTGTTAAATTTTCTGCCATACCAGAACCTGTTAAAATGTTACATATTGGATCGGCGGCTCGAGTATGAAATGCTCTGTCCATCTTAATTTTAATTACATACATTACAAAATAGTTTGCATAATTATTACACAAATTTAAGCTTTGTAAACTTTGAGTTTGATTTAGGTTTTAAAAATTTGCTTTGAAAGGATACCCATATACATCAAAGATAACTTCAAATTTAATATATCCAAATTATTTTATAGTGTAAGTAATTGTATATCTTCATACCATTCTCTCCCGAGAATTTAGTTCTTGATATGCCTTTATATGCGATCTTCAAAAGTAATAGCTTTTATCTATATATTATCTGATGGGTCTTTTACAAAAAATTTTTTCAAGAATTTTCGTATGGTTCTCTAAATACATTTTGGTTAGGGCTTCGCTGAATAATGAGGTTAAATAAAAATTTTGAAGTTATGTTCCTCTATATGTTTTTGTGTAATGATCATCCTAATTATTGACTACTCTTTAATATAAACACTACACAGATCGAATAAATAACTAAATTTATATATATATTTTATATATAAGGATATAAATTAGTAATATGTTCGTGACTAAATTATAGTATTACTTAGAATCAATATTTATTAATATAAAATACAAATGAAATCATGTATACAGAAAGTTAACATATGTTGTTTTGTTGGCAGAAACATGTAAGTCTTATTTTACAAACACCGCATAGTCCGTCCTAATCGTCTTGTGAGGTTTCATCATCAAAGCTGTTTCTCACAGCGCACTTACTCGTTATCGGTCGCAAGCCCGCAGTATGAAGACTGCTCGCTTTTGTTTGTTTCTTAACAAATCTTTTGAATTTTGCATTAACAAACGGCCCCGACTAGTGCTAGCTGAAAATTCTTTAACAATAATATGTGTTCTTGACACGAATATTCTGGATTACACCGACCATTGTTATCGTGGGTACAAAAATATATTTTGCCGTGCAAGATCCCGTCTTTGTTTACAGCAGTTAATATCGAATTTCTTATTAAAGGCTTAAGTGCTGCTTATGTAATTCTGAAAAAAATCAGTAAAAGCAAACCAAAAAAGTAATTACTTCCATAATTTATAATACACAAAAGCCAGTTCGAAGCCGCAGAATTACGTTGTCTGACTTAATTCAATCTTTTCTGCAGTTTTTGACAGTTTCTCATCGCTGCTTTTAAAAAAATTATACAGAAGCTTTAGAACACCAATCAGTTTTCAAATAAATTTCTATAAATAAAATTGTCAGTTTCATGGAATAATGAAAGCAGAAGTATGAGATGGTATGATGGTATAACAGTGTCCAATTCATCCAATTGGCTCTGTAATTTGATCTGTTTGAAAATAACATATAAAAACAAACCAACAACAAAACCAACATTGCATGAAACCTCTAAAACAGCGATACGAGATATATGTAAAGATATAAAGACAGAATATGTAAATATTTCAACATAATAATATTTCTTCTTGTAATATCATTTACTATTGAATCAGCGAAAGTACAACAATGCGCACCCACAAGCACTGAGAAATTATACAAACAAATTTATGTCAAAAATAAACAAAAATAATAGGAACATCAGTAGCAAATATCAATTTTATTTTGGCGATATAAAGATATGTTTTCGTTGTTGTTGTTATTTTGTTTTAGTAAAAGATTTCTCTACCCATCGCTACCAAGTTTCCTACAAAGATCACAAAATCTCAAACTATTCGATTTATGTTAAGACCAGCTGATTGGAAATCTTCAATATTTTTAAATATTGATACGGGAATACATTTTGGACTCTAAGAGTAGATCAACAATTAGAGCGTCTCTGGAATTTTTTATATAATCAAAGAATGCGTTTAATTAGCTGCATTTATATATATATTTTTTTTAATATTATTTAATACTCCAACGTGTAATATAATAGCATCCAAAAATTGTAAATAGATCTCAAAGTACCGAAACATGAAGTACTCGTATGCGATATAAAATCTTTAATTTGATAAACAAAATAAACTAATTGAAAAAGATTCACTTTTTTGTCTCTTTTTATATTCTTAATACTGCATGATATTATTTTGTCTAATAATATCAGAGATATAGAGTTACAGAGATGTTGAAATCCGCTCTCCAAAAAAAAGAAAACATTTTGCATGCATTGTAATTATTGTTGGCAAGACAAGATTATGAAGCTCTTACTTTACAAGCCATGATACTTAAATCAGTTCTATACCTAATATTACAGCTTACATTTAAAGGGTCTGTAATATACATATTGCAACTAAAGATACAACACTTCTCAATGGATATTTTTGACCTTAAGTCACTTGTACCCAGTTAGCTTTTCACGTAAAATAATTAGGAAAGTGGTTTTCGAAGAACAGAATTAAAAAAAAACCGAAAAGTATCCATAATATATTTCAATTATGGTAGGTAGGAAAACATGTCAGAAATTAAATGAAATTGTACTTTCACAAAAGGACTATATCGAATTCTTGGGCTTAACTTTAAGCGAAAGAACGATATGATGCATTTAGATTTGGAAATAAGTTCAATGAACTCAGTTTCTTTTTAAACTGCAGTTCACAACTGAATGTGAAAACAAATTGCTATTATAGAAGTTAGTTATGAAACTAGTCTGGTTGTATGGGTCGAACTATGGCTTAGTGCAAAACCAACAAACGTTGATAAAATCTAGAGACTTTAATGCTTGACTCCAGATCCTGGAGATAAGTAACTTCAGCACTCAGTTACTAAATTTGCATAAGGACTTCTGTTAAACATTTGGAAGAAGACATCAGTCTATGGGGGGTTATAAAAATATTATTAACTAATTTTATTTTATGTTTTATATGAAATTTAATCGATTTCATGTTTGAAAATTTTTCAGAATCGATTTTCGTCCTGATCGTGGTATTTATGATTTACAAATTAAAAATGCTTCATATAGTCGTGACAACGGGCGTTTTGAATGTCGCGTCAAAGCCAAAGGTACAGGAGCTGATGTTCATCAGGAGTTTTTTAATTTGACCGTCTTGACTCCACCACACCCACCAATTATTTCGCCGGGAAACAATGCCGTTGCAACAGAGGATAAACCGATGGAGCTCACATGTAGTAGTATCGGTGGTTCACCTGATCCAATGATAACGTGAGTAATTTAACTTTTTTACCTAGAACTGTGAAGATTAATGCAAATGTGGAAGACTAGTATTTTTATAATGCAAATATATAGAAGGATAATAAAATTACTAATTGTAAAAAACATAAGATTAATTTTCAAATATTTGAACATTTTGAAGAATCATATCTCTTAAAATATTTTTTATTTATTTTTCTATTTATGAAAACTAAAAGTTCTTATTTGAAGACTGCCAAAGCGCTTTTATCTCTGTTATGTAAAGGTAAATTACTGGTCTTTTTAAGGTCGTGTGCGAGTTAGGCTAAGTTGATGCTAAACCAAATGGGAGATTTTTTGGGATTTTTTGCACTGCACACATTTTGCCATTTATCAACACGTATCGACACATCAATACATTATCGACACAACTTAGAATTTCCCTCATTTAGAACGCAACTTAGCCTAACTCGCACACGACCTTAATTGGCTGAGTTAAGGTTAATGGGTGGACCGTGTAGTATAATATATTTTTTTTTACTTTTCTTTGCATAGAAAAAAATAATTAATAGCAATATTAACTGAAAATTACTTAATTAACCATAGTCAACTTATTTAGGTTGTTTTCTGAAAAAAAAATCGGATAGAAGAAGATATTTATCGAAATTCAGAATTTCAAAAAAAAGTCTTCCCCAAAAAGCCTACAGCCAAAATACCCATTATTTCAAAATAAATTAAATTTCTTCTAAATTGTGCCAAAATAATTCTAATGTTCAAGCCAAATAAACATAAACCAGAGAATGTCGTGTAATATCATAAAGGTCTAGTAGTCTACTGGCATATTAAAATAAAACAAATCTCACTTATCACCACATGATTCTCTGTTAAAACAGTTCAAAAATAACATATCAGGCTCTCTCTCTCAGGCTCCAAATTTCTTATGCCGATTAGTAGCCTCTGATAAATCCATACATCAAGTCACTTTGTTATTCTAAGACACTGTCACAATAATAGAAGAATAAAATGGAATGGAATGAAATGGAATATTAAGATCGATACACAAAAATCTGTCAAAATGGGTGAATGTCAAGAGTCTCTCATATCATCAATGTTAGTTACATTGTTAGTTAATATTCATGTGCGAGAGGTAGCAAACCAAAGATTGACGGCTTGGGATAGAAAAAGATAGAGAAGAAAGAGTCATTTCAGTACTAACGAGCGATGAAGTAAGTCGAGCTGTATTGAGATTGCGAAAATTGTTTTCCATAAATCAAACGATAGAGTTGTGGCATATTTTTTACTTAGCTTTAGTCTATCCCTTAGCAAGGTAAATTTAATAATTCTCTATAAAGCAGTACTTAAACCAGTCTGAAGGTGAGAGTTACAGCGATGCAGTTGTGTGGTACACTTGGAATAATTTGTAAAGTCCCACTATTTGATACCAACAAAATAATATAAAGATACCAATATATTATATTATATATATTTAATCCTTTAACTCCTAAGAGGAGCATAGGGCCGCAACAAATATCTTCCACTCGGTACGACACACCAATATGGTATATTATCAAGTATAAAATCCATAAAACTACTGCAAGATATATAAGTAATCATTTGAACCTCTTCGTCATAAGCCTCTTGTATGATAATCACGTCTAAAAAGATACCAGGCGCTAGAGTTACTCTATATATTGTATGGTTAATATATTATTATTGTAAATTTGCAATTCGTATGTTACTTTCTAAACTTAAATTTTGTAAATAATTTTTTTTTAAATATTATTAAACGTAAATTCGAAACTTAAGTTGATATGCATAACCCAATTTCAAAATTCTGTTTATTCTATATTTCCATGTATTTTTTGGCGCTATGTTTGGTTATGCAGTTGGTATCGCGAAGGCAGCAATGCACCCTTGCAAGCAACTGTAGTGAAAGGCGGCTCAAAGGATCAACCAACAAATGGAACCCTAACAATAACGCCACAACGGGTAGATGATAACGCCAAGTACAAATGTGTTGTTTGGAATCGTGCCATGAATGACGGACAGCGTTTGGAGACAACTGCAACGTTAAATGTTAATTGTAAGTACAATGATAATAATATTTTATTTATATGTTCTATTTATCATAAATCATGCAGTATTAAAGTATGAAATAGATTCAACTGACATCTAAAGAAATAGAGTTTAAAACCGGAGCTATAAATTATAAATTAAAAGTGTAACTTTGGTATGTCTAAATGTGTAACAGAATTTATTCTTAATTTGTACAACCAGCCAAATCCTTGCCGATTATGTTGTTGTGTCGTCAGTATCTTCAGGGTCAGTAGATCTAATTTATCAAGTATAGATACTCATTAGCATATATTTTTGATTGAAATTGGTTTGGTTATACCAAATATTCTTATCGTTTTCAGTTCAGGTTTTCTTTTATTATTTCTTTATGTTCTCATTACTAACTTTTTGGTTTATTTAACAGATTATCCACGAGTGTCTATTGGTCCTGAAAATCCACTGCGAGTCGAACGTGATCGCACTGCTAAATTAGAATGTAATGTTGATGCTAAACCTAAAGTACCTAACATACGTTGGACACGTAATGGTAGATTCATCAGTTCTTTATTGGTGCACTCCATACATCGCGTTAGCGTGCAAGACGCTGGCGTATACACTTGCTCAGCTGATAATGGGCTTGGAAAAACGAGTGAGCAAGAACTTATACTCGACATACTCTATCCACCTACTGTAGTTATAGAATCGAAAACGTATGAAGCTGAAGAGGGTGACACAGTAAAAATACGCTGTAATGTCACAGCTAATCCAACTCCTATAACCATTGAGTGGATTAAAGATGGTTCACCTGAATTTCATTATTCAGGCGATGTGCTTACGCTATCATCAGTGCGTGCTGAACATGCTGGCAATTATGTCTGTCGTGCTGTGAATATTATCCAATCTTTTGGCCAGGAGCGTAGTGAACGAACTGGAAATTCTACTGTGGCTCTATTGGTTCGCCACCGGCCTGGACAAGCATATATTACTCCAAACAAACCAATTGTGCATGTAGGCAATGGTGTTACGTTGACATGTTCCGCTAAGCCACCAGGTTGGCCAGTACCACAATACCGTTGGTTCCGTGATATGGATGGTGAATTTTCTACTACTCAAAACATTTTAGCATCTGGTCCACAATATTCTATTCCTAAAGCACATTTAGGAAATGAAGGTAAGTATCATTGTCATGCTGTAAATGAGCTCGGTATTGGAAAAATGGCCACGATTGTGCTGGAGATACATCAACCACCACAGTTCCTAGCGAAATTACAACAACATATGACCAAAGCAGTATCAGATTCTGATTATGCTGTAACATGCAGTGCCAAAGGCAAACCAGTACCAAGTATACGTTGGCTTAAGGATGGTGTAGAAATTTCATCAGAAAAAAATTTGTATGAAGTCAAAACCAATCCTGATGAAGGTCCCAATGGCATGGTCACAGTACAAAGTATGCTTAAGTTTTACGGTAAATTGCGTCCTAACAACAATCAACTGGTACCTGGTGATCGCGGACTTTACACTTGTTTGTATGAGAATGAAGTGAATTCAGCAAATTCTAGCATGCAGTTGCGCATCGAACATGAGCCAATTATATTACATCAATATAACAAAGTAGCGTATGATATTCGAGAAACCGCCGAAGTTGTTTGCAAGGTGCAAGCATATCCAAAACCGGAATTTCAGTGGCAATTTGGTAATAATCCCTCTCCTCTTACTATGTCTTCTGATGGTCATTATGAAATTACCACTGCAAATGATAATAACGATGTTTATACATCCACACTACGTATTAATTCTTTAACCCATGCTGATTATGGCGAATATACGTGTCGCGTTGATAACTCACATGACACCATTCGAGCACCAATACGTCTTCAACAAAAGGGAGCACCGGAAAAGCCTACAAATACGCGCACTGTAGAAGTTGGTTCAAACTATGTTCTCCTAAGTTGGAATCCTGGCTTTGACGGTGGTCTTAGTAATACAAAGTTCTTTGTGAGTTATCGTCGTGTTCCAATGCCGCGCAAAGAACAAATGATTCCCAATTGTGCTACGATTGCTAACAGCAATACCGATTGGATGGAGTTTGATTGCCATCGGGACAACCCATGTAAAGTTGCTCCGCTTGATCAGCATCAAAGTTATGCATTTAAAGTGAATGCTCTAAATACAAAAGGCAATTCGCCATACTCCAACGAAGTAATGACCACGACTAAGGTCAGCAAGATACCTCCTCCACTTCACGTTACTTATGAACCCAATTCACGTACGTTAGGCATAAATGTTGGCGCTACCTGTTTATCGCTTATTGCAGTGGTTGAGTCTATAATTAACAGTGAAACTCCAATGGCAGCTTGGGAAGTTGTCGATACAGTTACTTTACAATTATCCGGTAATGGTCCAACATTTAAGGAACATGTAATTGATCGACCTATCGCTTCTCGTTTTGACACTAGTGACCGCTCACATTCAATCAACGACAATGGCGATGACAGTGATATGAATTCATTAGGACTTGAGAATGACAATAGTCCAACTGTCCGCGTAAAGTTGTGTTTAAAATCTAATCATGAACATTGCGGAGATTATACTGAAGCGGAAAGTAAGTAAATAAATTCAACAAATAATGAAATTTAATCGCATTTTATTGAAGCATTAAAGTTTGTTTTTTACATTCGAAATTTTCGAAACATAGCACTCGTTCTTTGCGTGCTAGATGGTAGATGGGCATATGTAAAGAGCATTTGCAATGTTTGTCCAATTGCTTTCGATATTTTTCGTAACTCACTACTGTGTTGAACTGCATTGTTTCTAATCACATTTTTGTTTACCAATTTTACAGTTGGACGCACTTACATAGCTGAAGCTGCCGCCCTTGCAACTCCTACATTAATTGCAATAATCGTGTCGTGCATTGTATTCGCGTTATTTGTTGGTTTGCTGTTAATGTTCTGTCGTTGCAAGCGCAATCAATCAAAAAAAAGCGCTGCTGTCAAGGACTATGAAATGGATTCGGTTCGTCCGTCGATAGTTGCAGCACAACAAAGCCAAGCGCCACCACCTTACTACCCAGCAACTGGGCTCGACAACAAAGCACTTGAACACTCCATAGATCTTGCACTCAGCATGGAGGAGCAAAAAAGTGCGTTATATGCAACTCAAAATGGATATAGTTATCATCCTGGCAGTGCAGTTATCAGTGGCGGTGTTGCTATGCCTGGCTTAGCTGGACATGCAATGCCAGGAAATGAATGTAAGTAGTTGTTTTGTGGTGAAAAATATTTGCAAGTGGGTCTTGTTCATGTTTATTTACGTATACATGGGTCAGGATGTGGGTAGGTGATGGTAGTGTGCGAGGGAAGAAAATTGTTTGTGAGTAAAAATTAATTGTAACTGCTCAACAGAGATGGAAACTTTGTGCAACATCATCCTGATTTACATCTGCAGCTTCATCAGATATGCACTTGAAAGCGACATTATTTTTTGTACTCCACCTGTTTAATTATCCATTTGACTGTTACTTCCATTGCTTTTTACGTTACAATACGGCCAGATACGGTCAGATATTTTTTGACTTCAAGTCTTAGTGAACTTCAATTTCCCATTTAGAACGAATTGTTCTTTATTTTTATTGATTGCTGCAGTTTCTTCAATTTAGTGTCCGCGTCCAGTTGTTATAACATCAGGCTATTGGAATGATATTTGTACGGCAAAACACGCAAATTGTCCGACTACTGAAACTGTCCATTTATAAGCATTGTCCGTAATAATGAATTTCATCGCATCATGATAACCTAGGACATGATAAACTACATTAATTGCTGCTTATAATTTATCTAAAATTAGAAATGTTACATTTTCATTGAAAATTTTAGAAAAAGCAAATGAAAATTCAAAATAAACACCGCAATGATGGCACAATTATCACAACTAAGTTCTCTGCCTGAATCTTCTGAAAGATGTCCCACTCGTGATAAGTTCTAAGAACCAAAATCGAATAAGCTATTAAATATTAAGTACTATGTAAGAGGTACTTAACTTACATAGTATTGGCTATGTATACCAATTATAATTAATTAATAAACAAAAACTACAATACATATTTAACAAAAATATTGTATTTATAAACTACCAGACATATGCAGAACATTTATTTTACTTTGAACTTAATATAACTTCTCCGATATATACTACCATATATACATACTACATAATCAAATTTAATTCACTTAAAGAATTGTTAAAAAATTTTAAATAGAATTCATATTCACCGACTAGTTCTGTAAAAATTTTATATCGAATTATAATATATATAAAAATTTTACAGATATGTATTTGAAACCTCGACTTGCTTCCCACCTTTTCAATTGAATTTAAATATTATATATATAAATATTTAATATATATTGTTATTATTTCCAGGGGTCAATATGGGCTACATCGAGAATAACTACTCCAATTCGAATAATGGTGGTAGTGTTAACTCACAAGACTCGCTATGGCAGGTGAAAATGTCTGCAGCTGCCAGTAATCAACATAATCTGGTGCCAACTGCACACAATAATTATATTGAACAACAACCGATGTATGGGTATGATCCACTTACTCATGGTGGCTACGGTGCCGTCGATGATTACGCATCTTACCCACACTTGACAGCAACCCCCAGTCAACATGGTGATGAATATCATAATTTGTGTAACAGTCAAAATCCATCCAGACAGGACTATTGCAGTGATCCATATGCCTCTGTACAGAAGCCAAAAAAACGGATTGATCAACACTTGGGTGAGTTCAATAAAAAATAACATTCTTAAAAATTGAACTAAATAATTACCTACCAAAGTGGTGGCACACAGTAAACTTTGTAGTACTGGTGACATATTCTTTTATATATAACTATATATACTTTATAAGTGTGACCATTGATTATAAATACTTATATAATAATATTAATATTTAATTATGGTATTATGTTGTATGTCCTGTGATATAAGAACTCTCTTTCGAATAGAAAACAAGGAGTTGTGAAAAAATTTTCAAATCCAAACATGTAATATTTAATTAATTGAATTCTTGGATTGACTATTCAAATGTTTCGGATACTTACAAATATCTATCATCAGTGGACTGTAATATTCGATAACATACAAAACTCGCTAAGTAGGCTAAGTTGACTAAGTAGCAGAATGCAACGACTTTAAAGCAAATATGCGGAAACGTTTTGTACGAACAATAGCGCTAAAATTCTAAAAAACAACAATTCATACCATAATAATTAAGTTAATTAATATAGCTGTGATTTAAGCGTTTGTTCTAAAGATGCACAGCAAATACAAATTGGATTTATATAGAAAAAATGTACGTTTTAACAGACGAGTCCGCAGTTCAAATTTGACAGGGTTCAATCTCTATATATATGGATTATATATGTTACATATGGACAAGTAAACCAATAAATGCTTCCAAAGACTACTGAAAATGCATATTTGTCAGTATTCGTAAAACCCACATAAGTTAGTTTATTTGTTTTCAAATTTTGGTTTATAACACGCAAAATATGTAAAATTATTTTATGAAGTAAAATATGAATTAGGGGTTGATTGGTTGGTTGCAGTGGCAGGCCATTAGAAAACTCCCATGTACCTCAATTAGAGAGTTTTCGCCGTTTTGCTACCACATTCTTTGCAAGAAACCTAGTATAGAAGAGTAAAGACTAAATTCATTCCGCCGAATTTAGATAATTTAATAGGTCTTTCGTCTTCACCGATGAACAGTCTGATAAACTATCAAAGAAGTATCTTTTTAATAACCCATATCTGCTGGACACCAAAGCTGAGCATTCACGGAGAAAATGTATTGTGGTTTCTTTTTCCTGCGGGTTTCCACAACTTATGCAGTGAGGATTATGAGAAACGCGCAATTTTTCTGCGTGGGTTCTTATACACCAATGAGCAGTGTTCATGCGGTCTTTTTTGATGAGTTCCGAAGATCTATTTTTATTAATTTGGAAGTTGCACATGACTTAAGTGCTGGCAAGTTGCAAAAAGTAGAAAAAGGTACCTCTCCTAATGGTCTCTAGAGTAATATAAACCGGTACCGCCAGGGAAGCACCAGAGCAGACTAAACTTTCAGCCTTTCTCGTTCCCTTCGATGTTCCTATGTGCAGGAACCCAGATAAGAGTGATCAGTCAACCGATTTTACTTGTCGATTGCTTCTCTACATTTCTTTACTATCTTTGATTTTGTTATGAACGATTCAAGAACTTTGATTGCTGCCTGGCTGTCCTCGATGAGACTTCCACTTAATAATAATTAAGGGGAGTAAATAACGTTAGGTATTATTAATTATGTTATTGTTCTTGTCTTGTTAAAGAATATTATTACTGTTGTAAGGCAAAGAAACAAACAATTAAGATAGTTGGAAGCGAAAGTTCTGGATATTTAAATACACACAAAATATAAAGACAACATTTAGAAGTAAGCCGCGAATGTTATTCTAATTTGCTACTGAATAGCACTCTGTATTTTTGAGTAGGTGCACGTACTGCCAAAAGCCCATTCGATTGCTTGAGGACAAACATTTTTCCAGTAGCTCTATGATATTTTCTTAGTAAAGATATACTTCGTGTATTTCTATTAAATTGTTTCGGATCTATTAAATGAGTATAAGTTGTCTGTTATAATAGATAATAGAAATATAAGTTCAGTCACTAAATTCATACCAAAATTGAGCTCTGCCTTAACTATTTCTGAATATGCAAGTGAATTACATTTGCTGTATTGAATAATTAACTCATTTTTAAGACTGGTCGTTCCACTATTTCCGCTGTAAATTATGACATTAATAATCTTCTCAGATCATTAAACAGTTTCTTCAATTTCATTCTATTTGAACAATATTTTGATCACTTGGCATAAAAATGCGTACATATATCTATCTATACATAAATTATTAAACACTATTAAATATATTTAAACAAGTTATTTGTTTATATTTAATTAGTTTATGTAGTTCAATTTATTTAAGACACGGCATCAAAAAACACTGGTTTACAACCAAAAATTGCCAAAGGGGATACCTATTGTTTCTATAATGAAATTTTCCGCAGAATTTTAGAATCATAACATCTCTCAAGCCTTCAAAAATTTTTTCCTATTTTTATTGGGTATAAATATCCACTGTTATTTGGTACAGTTTGGAACCTATTAAAATCTTTTAATTTTTAATTTTTTTTTCGAATGGTGGTAATCGAATTATTTCAATTAGAGAACTTATTATTGGTGAGTTTTCATGTAAAAATTTTAAATTTTAAATCCTTTAGCCATGTTGACAAAGATATTATAATAGATACCTCTATTAAAATCCGTTGTAAAATAGGTATATCCGGGAAATTAGAATCTTACAAATTGCCCAAATTTTTTAAAAAGCTGATGTTCTAATATCTAGATATGACAGATTGTAATTGTTTATGACAGATGGAATATTATGTGCAGTTTGCAGCAATTCAGAAGAGCTATAGCTCTATCCGCACGAGTCTTTCAAGCGTTCTGATTATGTCTTCTACAAATCTAAAAATTTTTTTGGAAATAATTTTTACGTTTTTATGTTAACTACGGGAACCCTAAATGTTAAAGAATCAATAAAAAAAAAATGTTGTTCAATTAATGAAAATGTACATTACAGTGAAAAAAGTGCTAAATAAAAGAGTAGAGGAATTGGATATACTTTATTCTTGTGAGTTATAGATTCGGGAAGAGCTATCATAAGTATATTCTCAAAATATTTATAATTGTGAAATTAGGAACAGAAATAATAGTCACAAATTACAGTAAATCGAAAGTAAGTATGCATTTATATTCATTCATTAATCTAATTCTATTGTATATTATAGCTAAATGAAAACTTTAAAACAGTATGTAATACTGGTAATAAAAGCAGACTTATATTTGGACTGTCTATGCATTTTAATGAATAAATCCATTTCTATAGAAATGAATAATCATTTCTATACACAATATAATATTCATGCTAATATATGATGTTAAACGACGTACAAAAATAAAATGCCAACCTAAAATTTGGAAACTTGATTGTTCATATAAACAACGTCTCGTCATTTACCCTTATAGTACACTCATAAATAAAAAAACACATCTTTAGGGAAGAAGAGAATAAGAGCGCACAGAGAGCGAATCACTTTAGTGGGTTCAAGTCTTTCGATGCTTTCCACCTACTGCAAAAAAAAAAAAAATCACTTAAATTGAAAATATGAAATAATTTTGATTTAATATGTTCTGTGCTCCCACTTTCAAAATCATTACTATACTTTGGATTGATGTTGGATATCTATAATATATAAGTTGTCTGTTATATGAGTAGCCACTAAATGCATTGGTTAGTCCCACTTAAATTCAATAAAATTTCTAAATACCTAATTTCTATAACACTAAAAGATTTTACACTAACATTTTTGCAGTCCTTACGCACTATTATTCTTTACTCATCTAATTATAAGCTTTCCTAAAGGAATTTGGTTCATTAGACGCAACGACCACACATGCTTATCTCTTGCCTTGTCAAAGCGATAACTTGACAAAAGTGGGCGCATTAGAATTGCTGACACACTTTTATTGTCAACATGTGCAATGACCTGACACAGTAAGCATTAATGTGGGTCATGGATACCACATTAGTCCTCTCTGGCGTAGCTGCAATAAATTTCTTTACTCAAGCATTAGGACTTCGCCTAGTTACAAATTTTATTGCTCTGGTTATGTCAGGAATTAAATGTGCCAGGGATTTAGCAGTAACAAAAGTAGTGTAGTGTTCGCTTAGAGGAATCACATAGTCGTGTACTTCATAATTTAACCACGTCATACAACTAAAATATTACCACACGGCAACTTTTAATATATTATGATCCATTTCACTAAGAAACGCCACTTAATAACAACAAATTACACACTAGAAATAAATGGTTAACTGAAGCCCGTTTTACGGTGTATTTTGTTGCTGCGGCACTGCTCAAGAGAAACTTACTTTCACCGCCCAGGAACCCCAGTAGCTTTAGTGACTTCGCTAAGGTGAGTGCTTATCCTTTTAAATTTTTTAAAACTTTTTATTAGATTGCAGGTACAAAATTGTAATCGGATGTAGTGACGGCTCTTATATATCCAAATAAGTCCATCGTATAAAATTAAATCTATATTAAACGACACAGGTCTTTGTCGTTAGTCCTTCAACGAATTGGAAGTCTCTAGCTGCTGAAATACTAAATATTAATTATTCGTTTCGTGCTTAATAGCCAACGACTTCAGAGCTATTCCACCGGAGTGGAATAATATATAATATATATTTGTATATATTATTATTAACTGTGCGCTTCAAAAGTTATTTTAAAATGTGTTATTAAATATCATTAGTGCTTAAATACGCACACAAATTAAATAATGAAGAATTGATTTCACATAAAAATACAAGTTTCTTTAAAACTTTATACTATATCCAATCATCTACCCAAATTATTATCATATAATATAATATAACATGAGTTTTTTTTTCATTGCACCGAAAACATTACTAAGTGATGATCTTTACGTATGAATTCTCCTCGAACTTTCATAAGAAGGTCATTATGGACTCAAAGCCCTAGTGTTAGTTGGTTTGCTGGTTGGTTTTTGTTTTGCTCTATTCAATTGTTTGTACAATATTACGTGTTCATCGGCTACTTGATTTGCTGATGACGATCTTCCTTCCTGACGAGATACTCTCTATCCAAAGGAGA